TTACCCAGTGTTGTTGTTGTCGTGTGTCGGAGCTCCCTTCTCTGACATTAGCTTATTTTATTTCCTCAGCCCTTACTGCAAAATGATAGTTTAGCATCATTTTCTTCTTCTGTCTTCCCAGAAAAAAGTTTAAAACCTAATTCAGTAGAGACCCTGTTTATCTTGTCTATTGTAACTTGTAGCAATACCAGTCACATAATAGATCTGTAAATATTTGTTGAATGAAATGTGTTTCCCCTTCATTCAGGAATAATGTCCGTGTTGATTGGTAGGGCTTCTGAGCCCTGCCCTTCTCAGACCCTTGAGTGGCCTCCTTTGGTTTAAAACCACAATTTATATTTTATGATTTTACAAATAGCAAAGAATACTTTATAAATAACTGTTCATTTAATGCTCTACTTCCATGCTTCTGAGTTTGTAGCCTATTTTCACCTATATTATCTAGGATCAGCTTGTACTGTTAATTAACACTGCATTTAACACCACTTTCATTTCAACTTTTAAAAATTTATTTAGCAAATCAAGAGATTTGTAGCCTCATTTTTTTTTTCCCCACATTTTCTAAAGAACAAAATATCTTATAGGATAAAAATATGCTCTCCGCCGGTACCTGGTTTTTTTTTTGTTGTGTGCCTGTTGTTATTTGGTGTTGTCGAGTCGACCACTACTCCTTAGCGACCCTGTGAACAGCGGACCTGAACCTTGAACCTGTCCTGTCCTGTGCCATCTTCATCATCTCTCATAGGCTTGAGCCCATTGTCATAGTCACTGTCAATCCATGTGACCAATTTTTTTAAAAAAGAACAAAACAAATGTGACTTTGTTTTGTACTTTAACTTGGTAAAGAATTGGCTTTGAAAATAGTTTAAAAATCTTTCAGCTTATCCACAGTTTTCTTTTCAATTTATGCATTGAGTTTGCTGCCCCAGAAGTCTTTCTCCAGATTGTCAGCCGAACTTTTCACCTTTCAGTCCTGCAGATCCATTGCCCGAGTGGATTCTGATTCCCTGCGACCCAGTGCGTTCCAGAGCAGAGCTGTGCCCTCTGATTATTGTTAATTGTTAGGTCCCTTCGAGTCGCCTGGACTCTTAGTGACCTTGTGAGCCTATGAAAGGACCTAACCTTGCCCTGATCTGTGCCATCCTCATCCCCAATACACTTGAGCCCGTTGTTACAGTCACTGTGTCAGTACCTCTGGCTGAGGGGCTTCCTCTCTTTCTCTGACCCTCCACCTTTCGCAGATGATGTCCTTCTCCAAGGACTGGCCCCTCCTGACAACAGGCCCAAAGTGTATGAGATGAAGTTTCATCATCCCTCATTGCACTGCCTCCCAACAGACTAGTTCATTCTCTTGGCCGTCTGTGGGGGTTCACTGCTCTCCTCCAGCAGCACAGCTCAGAGGCATTGCTGCTTCCTCTCATCCTCCTTCTGTCCTTCATCGTCCACCTGTCAGATGGATAGCGTGGAATGTGTGTCAGTTCTGACTGCTGAACACAACAGCAGTCCTTTGTTCTTGTTCGGCAGGCATTTCAAGTCCTCTTCTCTTTCAGGAAGCAAGGTTGTGTCATTTGCATAACACAGATTGTTGGTGAGTCTTCTGCAAACCTGATGCCACACTTTTCTTTGAATCTTTACAGAAGCAAACTGGCAGGGCTTCTGTATTGCGAGGGACTGCTTAGTCCTCAGTTGTGTCCTTTTCTGTAGTTGTTTAGTCATTCTCTCCTACCATCACTTTTACTGTATCCCTAGAACAGAAGCTGTTCTCTGAACAGGATGTGCTGGTGAATTGACAAGAGTTCTTAATGTACTGGTGTTAAGCGCTGTAACTGCTTCTGACTCATAGTGATCCCACAGCCAGGAGAACGAGGCTCATGCTGGGTCCTGGGCGGCCCTTACGGACACTCATGAACACGGCTGTTTGGACCCGCTGTGGCCTGTGTGTCAGTACACCCCATGAGGGCCTGTTTTTTGCTGAGCTTTTCTCGGCAAAAAACTGGTCCTTTCTGATAACGTGCCCCAAGGTTGTGAGAAAGGCTCCCCATCCTCTTTTCTAAGAAACCTACCTCCTGCATGTCTTCTATGTTTAGTCTGCTAGTGGTTCATGGTATATTCTGTATCAGACACCATCATCCAAAGATGTAAATTCTTCCTTTATGTTCGTTATTGTCACACGATCATGTGTACTCTCAGAAAGCTCATTGCCATTGAGTTGGACCTTTCAGTGAGTTTCCCAAGGCTGTAAATCGCCTGAGAGGAGTTTACCCATCTTCCTCCAACAGAGCCCCTGTGGATTCAAAGCACCAGAGAGACACCACCTTTTTTTTTCTTCTTTTTTTTTTTATTGGGAAAAACATATTGGGGGTACAAGGAGGTGAGGGTTGGGGGCAGAAGGGTGAGGATGGGCCAGGATGCAGCTGCAGAGCTGCACAGTTTGGTCGGTGGGGGGAGCAGGTGAAGGAAATGATGAGGGTCCAGTGGGGACCAGATGTTACAGAGGAATGACAAGCATTTTCCAATAGTAATTAAACCAACTGTCTTATTGATTTGGGAATTGGATGCTGACTCTCTGGCTTCCTCATGCTGAACAGGGGTGTAGATGTAAAGGGGGGAAGGGGGGACGCTTTATCACCTTACTGGTGGTCTTAGGTTAAAGCTGCTTGCCTTCTTGTTCTGTTAGAAGATATTTTCCTGTCATTTGCTCCCCTCTGGACTGCAAAGTGTTTTCCCAGGTGGGTCCAGTGGGGATGGCTGGTTGAACCCAGAGGCTCCATCCTCCTTTGCTTCCTTAGCTGTCAGTTGTATTTCCTTTTTGTCACTGGCACTGGGTTCAGGGTCAATTCTGGAGTAAAACTCAGAGTTAAGGTTACCTATAGGAAAGGGAGCAAACCTAGAGAGAACAAACTTGTGAGTTACAAATAGAAGGGCTTTGAGGGTGTTGCTTTCAGGTTTACTGGGGGGGAGGGTGGCAGAAGGTGGCCTAGGTAACATTCTCTGGATACCCTAGACATTCTTTTTTTTCCCCCCTTCCCCTCCCAGGGGTCAGATGGCACAATCTGGGGACTGAGGAGCTCACCCTGAGGGCTGCGACAGCTCGCCCCGAGCCAGGGGTCGAGGGCCGTGACGGCTTGCCCTGAGCCGGGGGCCGAGGACAGCCCGCCCCAGGCAGAGGGTCGCGATGGCTCGTGAGACACCACCTTTTACATCAGCAGTGCAACTCCCTATAGACTAGACTTGATCACCAGGCCTCCCGCCAGGGAGAGAGGGGGGTCACCGGAGATAGTGGGTCTGAAGAAGTAGATAATGCTTGAGGGGATTGGAGGAGACTTAAGCCAGCATGTTGTTGTTGTTGTTGTGTACTGTTGAGTTGGAACCAACCCATAGCTGACCCTCCAGTGGGTTTTCAGAGGCAGTTAATCACATGGGAGGAGATTGCCCATCTTTCTCCCATGGAGCAACTGGTGGCCTCAGACTGCAAGCCTTCAGAATTGCAACACAGCTTCTTGCCACTAGGCCACCAGAGCGTGGATTAGGAGGCAGATAGAGCTGGAGGGAGAGTTGGGTGACCTGACAGCCACCATCTGTGGCTTATAGGTGGGCTGTGGTCTTCACCCCTAAATCATGTGCCCAGTGCTGTAGTGGTACCCTATGTTTTGGACAGAGACCCAGAGGTAGGTTTTCAACTCAAGTAAAGATCTCAAAGAAAGTCTCAGGGAGCTAACTTCTGTATTGGGCGTTCTGTCTTGAGTGGATCCAGGTCGTGAGAAAGATATGTGTCTTCATCTTCCTCAAAGTGTTCCACTTTGTCCTGAGATTTACAGTAAGACAAAGTTCCTTTGGGGTGCTTTTATTTTGACAGTGTTATTTTCCCTCAAAATTGATTGGCTTGTGGCTAAGATGAAAACCTAAAGAGGCACTTCTCAGATTGTATTTCTGAAGAGGTTGAAACTGTAGAAAGAAGAAAAAGCTAATCACTTTTATGACCATAAATTTTGTCCTCGAGACCTTTTATCTTGAAGCTTTTCTCTCAGAGTTAAAAGGACAAGCAGAGGAAAGAGATACTGCTGACCTTGGGGAAGGCATTTCAGGGGATGACTAGCATTAAAGACACTAATTATCAAAAGTACATTAGATAGTACATTGATAGGAAACTTCCAGAAATTCTCCTTAAAGTACTGAAACAATAAGGATGTCACTTTAAAGACCGAGGTGCACCTGCCCCACGCCATGGTATTTTCCGTCATAGGCATGAAATAACTCTCTTAGAAGTGCAGCCAGAATGTTCCGTAGAAGCAAAGACAGTGAGACTTGGTTTTACATCCTTCGGGCATGTTATCAAGAGGGGCCAATCCCTGGGACAGGACATCATTCTTATTCAATTAGAGGGTCAGTAGAAAAGAGGAACACTTTTGAAGAAGGCCTGGAGATAATGGCTATAACAGTGTTCTTTGTAAGCACAGCTGAGTCCGTGCGATGGTGCAGGGAGAGTCAGGCCCCCTCACTGCCACCTAACAACAGCGACAGCAATGCTACAGGGATTTCAAGGCTCCCAGCACATAGGGACACTGGCTCGTCTGCCATCACTGACTTACTCAGTCAGCCAGTTGACTCAACACCTCCCATGTTCTTCTCTTGACTCTCTCCGCCGGCTCCGACAGCTGCTGACTCTGAAAGGCCTGGCTGTGTTCACTTATTCACACACCAGCTACCCTTTCAAACGCACTGGGAGGGCGTACGTGCCATGGAGGCTGACTGCTCAGAAAACGTGGCCGCCCAGATCTGGAGCCGCACTGGAATGAGAGGCATCTGTCATTTCCTTCCCACGCAGCTACGCTGCCATCCAGCTCAGGAGTGGTGTTCACGTGATCAGGCGTCTCTGCTGTGCCCGCCGGCAGGGAGATGCCCACCTGTCTGTCTGCAGGGGTCTCAGCCTCTAGGAGCTGTCACTGGTGACTGTTCACCTTCTTTGAACGTTCAGTAACTTATTTCCTCCTTTCTTGCAGATGAAAGACTTTCGAACTAAAATGCAGTCACTACTTCCAGCGCATCCCGAGAACTCGGAGTCGCCTGTTGAGTGGGAGGAAGCTTTGAGGTCCAAGTGAGACGAGCGTGGACCCCACAGCGGTGTTGCCAGAAAGGCAGCTGCAGAGAGGCCACCACAATGCAGGGACTCGAGGACCCTTGACGCTGCCTCCGTGTCTTCAGCAGCAACCTGGAGCCCCACGGTGTTCACATGGTCTTCACTGGGTTTGTGTGCGCGCACGCGTGTGTGTACACGTGTGAATTACTAAAACAATTTCCCTATGTGAGGAGACGTGGGGTAAAATTGTTTATGGTTGTAACAGTTAAGACCACGTTCTTACCTTGGAGAAAAAGGTTTCTAATAAATGTGTCATGGGAAGTCTTGGTAAACTGTCTCCTGAACCTTGACATGTCTGCTACATGAGTTTCTAGAGTGTTAATTCTAAGTATGTGATTGTCAGAATCAGGAGGGCTTGGGAGCCTTGTGGTGCTGTGAATAAAGTACTTGGCTGGCAGCATAAAGGTCACAGGTTCAAATTCACCATCCACTCCATGGGGCAGTTCTGCTCTGTCCCACAGATCACAGTAGCCAGAGCTGACCTGAGGGCAGTGGGGTTTGTGGAATTTCCCTTTAGAAGATTAGAGTCAGGGGAAAGGGTAAGTCCTGGAGCTAGGAAGTGGGCCCCGAGCTTTTCAGTCACTCGCTGTGCATTTGAGATCTGGGCGGTGAGGAAGGGCAACAGAATTTGATGCCTTTGAGTTTTGGTGTTGGAGGGAGTACTGAATATCCCACAGACTGTCAAAACAGCAAACGTGCAGCCAGGTGACGAAGCTTCAGCTCACATACTTTGGGTGTGTTACTGGGAAGGGTTATTCCTTGGACAGGATCATGCTTGGAAAAAGGAGGGTGGGCGAAAGAGAGGAAGACCCTCAACCAAGTGACTGAAGTGACGGGCTGAAGAGATGATGAGGATGGACAGGGCAGGGCAGGGGTCAGATCTGTTGTTTATAGGGTCCCAATGAGTCATACGCGACTCAACAGCCCCTGACAACAGGACGTGGGCAGCAACGGGAAGGGGGCACGGCTCTGGTGTCCTGACTGCAGTCTTGGCTTCGCAACTGGTCACCTGCTGGGCCACCACAAGGTGTGTGACTCCTGGCACTCAGGCCATGAAGCCAGTCTCCTGTCCTGGTAGCTTGAAAAGGTGTGGGCCAGCTGACAGTGGTGCAGAGGAAGCGCATGGCTGTACAGGGGCCTTTATGACAAGGTGGCTTCCAGGTCCCCAAGTGCTAATGGACTGTCTGCCCATTTGCCTCAGCCGTCCAAGAGGAAATCGCCGAGTTACCTGGGTGGTAATCCTCAGTACCTGAGCATTACCTGAGGACTGAGAGGAAATAGTTTTTCATACACACCCACACTCATCCCAGTGAAACTGCGGCTGTTAAAACTCAACGTACAGGTTAAAAGCGATAGATGATAGGGTATTATGGTTATCACAAGAGTCCAGAATGAAGGTTGCATAGTGGAGTGTACTCGGGGCGGGGGCATAGGGGTGGCAGGCGGGGGGTTATATACCAGTGAAAGAATTTTTCTATTACTTTTCAAAGAGAAGAGCGAACTGGAGGGGAGGGGTGGGCAGGGAGAAAAGTGCAACAGTGAATGAATGGAAATCCAAAATCTCTATAAATGTTAATGAAAATTAGTAAAACAAAAAAGAACTCGACCTCACGTGTCTGCAGGATCTCTTGCAAACCATGTGGAGGCCCTGCTCTCCATGCAAGTATGTTTAGTTGTGATTAAATAATTTTTGGAGAAGAGAAATAATATATCAGAATGTCCAGAGATAAAACTTCTGGCTCAATTTCTTTATAATTGCTTAGGTTCTAATTAGTCAACCATCAGGTTTAATCAAGCACATTTGGAATTTACTTGTTACAATGAAACCTTTACAATCTAAGGACAATTGTAAATGCGATGTCAAGTGCATGATATATTATTTTCCCCCAGAAGCCTCCTCAGTTTAGCTTGCTGCTCCTTGCTTCTTCCCTCTTGACCCACACCCACCGCCACCAGACTCTGTGCCTGCCAGCCAACTCTGAAATCGAAGGTTAACATGAAGAGTTTCCACATCCATACTGTCCTGAGATTCTTCAGAGACAGCAGTGAGAGAGAGGTTCCTCGCATCCAGTCTTAGGCAAGGAGAGAATGAGAAGATGGTAAAGGACTTTCTCAAGAAAAAAATAACGGCATGGGCACGTGCACACATACACACATTATCCCCAGTACTGCAAAGAAAAGACAAGTGGACAGGTGATTTGAGACCAGCAGGTAGTTTAGATATATCGGGGTGCACTGTGTTCTTCACTTGAGCTGAGATTTCAGAAAGGAGGGCTAAGGGGGTGCAAGAATCCACACCCCATCAAGACGCCCCCTGGTGAAAGGTTCTCTGATCTTTCCAGCCAGCTTCTTTCGCTGCTTACAGCAGAGGGACAAGAAGGAGAGAGGAGTCGGGGGCAGTTGTTAGCCCAGGGCTCTGCTCTGGCAAGCTCCTCTATTTCTTTGACCCATCACTGCCTCACTTCCAGCCTGATCTTTTTGGCCTCTTAAAGAAGAGTTCCAGCTAAGGTAGGATGAGCAGTTAAGAGACCAGGAAGAATGCGACTGGGAGTCACTGCCTGGAGACTGGAATCTTGTATTCTTCAGAAGATGGCTGGGAAATTCTTCCCTCCACTGTGTAGAACCTTCTTTCCCTCTTCATTTGAGGTGCCCAGATGTCTGACAGTGGGATCTTCACTCAGCTCCTCTAGAGGTACACGTTCAAACAGAGGGTGCCCTTCATAATGGGTGCACATCCAGTTGTGTAGCTCCAGCACATTGGTTATGGTGTATACCAGGCCCCCTGCTCTCAGCACGTAGGCGTATTCTGCCAGTAGTGTGGGACTGATGAATTGTCACCTGTGCTTTGTCCTCTTGAAATGTGGGTCCAGGAAGAGGAAGAATATTTTCGTCAGCTAACAGGCCACCATAGCCACAGCCTATGTCTGCAAACTCCACTTGGGCCTGAGGTCTCTTTCTTATCCTTTGGGTCATCATGGCTCTTGATTTCGGGTCAGTGGAGCAAAAAACTTGGTATAGTTCAGGCCAGTCCATTTCCTCTGGCTTCACAGGGTAGTGCAGCGTATGGTCCGCCATGGGGTTGGAGTGTGCACGTTGCCGGTAGTAGCGCTTCTGGGGCTACGAGGCCTCTGCTCCGGTAGCACCTTTGGGCTCAGCTCCCGCCATGATCCACAGTCCGGCAGTACTTGTCTTTTAAAGAAGGCAAAGACATGTCCTCTGTCTCTCAGACCACCCTCAGGACAGGGCTTGCCCCCTGGGGCTCGGGGACGTTGGGGAGCAGACTGCCTCATCTTTCTAAGCTGCTGGCCTCTGATGAGCGCTTAACCTCTGCAGCATCAGGATTCCAAAGTGGTTTCTAATTTTTTTATATTCTTAGGCCATTTTGGAGAACGTAGGATCTACTTTCTTTTCCTTTTTAACAAACAGATGCTGCCCTGGATGTACACACGCAGTTGTGCCAAGAAATCTGGAGGACAGACAGCTGATCAACTGACTGGAAGAGATATTTGTTCCCATTCCAAAGAAAGGTGACACTACAGAGTACGGAAGTTATCGATTATCATTAATATCATGTGCAAGCAAGATTCTGCTGAAAATTATCCAAAAACGACTGGAGCAGTACATCAACAGAGAACTGCCAGATCTAGGGATATTATGGCTAATGTCAGATGGATCTTGGCTGAAAGCAGGGAGTACCAGAGGAATGTCTGTGTTTCATTGACTGCAAAGGAATATTTGACTGTGTGGACCGTAACAAACTGTGGCTGACTCTGAGAAGAATGGGAATCCCAGAACATTTGATTTTGCTTATGGGAAACTTATGCTTAGACCAGGAGGCAGTCAACAGAACAAGAAGACACTGCATGGTTCAAAATCAGGAAAGGGTGTGCCAGGCATATGTTCTGTCTCCATACCTTTACATTCTATAGGCAGAACAGATTATTTGGGAGGAGGGAAGGGGGAAGGGGGGCTGTATGAGGAGGAATGTGGCATCAGAATTGGAGGAAGGTTCATCAACAACCTGCATTATGCAGATGACACAACCAGGCTTGCTGAAACTGAGGAGGACCTGAAGCACTTGCTGCAGAAGGTCAAGGACTGCAGCCTTCAATATGGATTGAAGCTCAACATCAAGAAAACAAAGATTCTCACCACTGCTGATTGGCAGCATCAGTATGGATGGTGAAGAGATTGTCAACAGCTTTAGCTTGCTTGGCTCCTCAGTCAACACTTGTGGTACCAACAGTCAGGAAATCAGACAAATTGCATTGGGAAACTTGGCTGTCAGGGACCTCTCCAGAGTACTGAAGAGCAACAATATCAGGCTGGAGACTAAGGTGTGTCTGATCCAGGCCTAGTCTTTGCAATTGCTGGATAATGACTAGAGATGATAGAGAATTGATGCCTTTGAGCTGTGGAGCTGGAGAAGAGTTGAATATACCATGGACTGCCAGGAGAACAAGGTTTGTCCTAGAGAGAGTGAAGCCGGAATGCTCCTTGGAGTCATGGATTCTGAGGCTTCGTCTAACATACTTTGGGCATGTTGTGAGAAGGGACCAGTCCTTGGAGAAGGACATTATGCTTGGGAGGGTGGAGGGATGGCACAAGAGGGGAAGACCCTGGATGAGATGGATCAATTCAGTCATTGGAATGATGAGGGTAGGTGTGTCAGGGACTGTAAAGTTGACACAAGATAGAGCAGGGTTTAGGGCTGTTGTACATAGGGTCGCTATGAGTTGCAAGTGACTCAACAGCACATAAAAACAACAAAATTTTGAAATAACTAAAATTGGACCTGAAATACAAGGTGATAAATGCTGGCTCTGAGCACTGATGGGGGAGCAGTGTCGGGCACTACGTGGGCACCTTGATGACCACCTTCTATCCACCAAGCTCAGAGCACCTGGGTCACCTTCCATGTAGGCACTCAGTTCCCACAGGTCTGGCAAAGAGGGTGTGAGT